GCACATATTTCTCCTCTGACATCAGTGGGAGGGGGATCCTGCAGGAAGGTGAGGGATCCACAGGCAGCAAAGGCCAGGAGAGCCTTTCCCAGGGTAATTACCAGGGGATATATCCGACACAGGACCTGGGACTAGACTGACCTACTCTGATTTTTATTCCTCTGCTGATCCCTAAGCAAATACTCTCCAGACTACAAGATAACAAAACCTTCTGGCGCTGCAGGTGTTCCTGTGAGGTGAACGCTGACAGCAGGTATTTCTGGACCAGGAATAATGCTGCTGTTCACTTGTCCTTCCATGAAGGATGAAAGGCAAATGAGGGACAGAGACTGGCTGCCTTGGCTTCTCACAGCCTTCCACAGAGATGACGTGCAAATGAGGGACAGAGACTGGCTGCCTTGGCTTCACACAGCCTTCCACAGAGATGACGGGGCTAATTACCAGTTCAGCCACTGAAAGCCAGCTATAGGTTCCAGTTACCTGGTAACTGGTAAGGATGAAGGATGCACATCCAGGATACACGTCACTGAGAACTAGTCTCCTTGCAAGATTTACACCCATTTTAAAGGGGAATTGTCAGCTTTCTGGGAGGCCAATCATCATTTGAGTTGGCTTTGCCTGTCATCCAAGATCACTAGTCTTGTACTGAAGAAGACCCCACGAAGCCACTTCACATTTGGCATCTCCCCACAGAGGTAGCACCTACACTTTTCCTGTGGGCTGCACTTCCAAAGCAATGCCAAGCACAGAGGTGTCCCGGTGACAGGCACCTGGAAGATCTCAGCCCATTTTAATCCTAGAGACAAGGGTCAAGAGACCTAGAGATAAGGTGGACCCCCATCACCTGATTTGTGCATGTCTGACCGTCTAAGGCTGCCTTTGTGTAGACTCAGCAGGAAACATGAAAGTGAGCCCACCTGCCCCATTGCCTTTGTACGCATTCCCACTGCCACCGCTTAACTCCAGGGCCTCCCCTTCCACATCCCCCTGCTGCTGCCCCCCCCCAGCTAGCCACCGGAGCCTGCGGGCCACCTCAGACACCAAGCACCTCTGGCAATAAAGGCTGGGTGGGCATTGTGCTTCAGATGAGGATCACAGCCATGCAGAGTTAGCCAGAAAAGCCTTGCAAACAGCTTTGCCTTATTCAAGATGTGGCTGTGCAGCTGTAGCCCTTGCTCACACCAACCACAGCATCTCCAGAGCTCAGGCTATTCACGTAGACTGAGCTTTTTTTTCCTGGGAAAGGAGAAGTGGGTCATTTGAGACGGTTTCAACCACCTCAGAGAAGGCACTCTGCACGTCCTTGCACTCTGGAGACCTCCTCTGGTTTCCTCTTGCTGTTTTGGGTAGGATGTACCTGGTGCCTGACCGTGCCCACCAAAGCAGATGCCCAACACTCCTCACCCATGTGAAAGGAGATGCTCTCAGCCCTTTCCACCCCTCATCCACCTGTGGTCTATGTATGCTTGGCCTGTTGTCTACATGGAGGTACGAGATGCGGTGGTACCGAGAGGCAGGCTCAAAGAAATGACCCAGAGCAACCGGACAGAAGGGTCTATACGTGTTTTTAAGAAGGAGCACCCAGGTTTCCCCACCTCAGGTTTTGTACCCGTGACTGCAGAACTGCCAAGGCAAAGTTGGATGCCTAGGACCAGGCCAGAGCAGCTCCGTGGCAGCACTGGAAACACCAGCCTGTTACAGCCCCACATGACTGTCTTCCACACTGTGCCAGGACTTACTCTTAAGCAGAGATAATGCAGATAATTATGTATTATGTGCCCCCTATCACCTCAGTACTGCTTCCAGCCCTGTGGGACCTACACACCAGTGATCTTATTCACATGCTCCCCCTGTGCCACTTTGCTCTTCACCCCATGGGTGGGGGCAGAGGTCCCCACACCACAGAAGAGGCAGAAATCCATTATTGCTCCCAGCCAGACACATCAGCCACTGATGTTTTCCACATCTCCAGACTCAGCGACCTTCACGTTCAGCCCATTTGCTGATAGCCAGACAAACATGATGCGGGAAAACATGAGGTCAGCAGCTCCTGAAACCACCCAGTGAGGCTGGAGACCCGAGGCCTGCCTTCCCCCCACAGTGGGCATCACGGTGACTGAAAGGAGAGCGGTGGCAGGGCTCCTGTCCTGCAGTAGCTCACAGGAAAGGCAGGGCCTGGGCTTAGCTCCATCACCCTGTGGCTGTCACAGCACCCCGGCTCCTTGGGAGAGAGCAAAACCTCTCTCCCACGCAGTCGCCAAGGCCACGGTAGCCAGGGTATAAAGCTGACAACGACTGTCACTTGGGCCAGGCTTCAGCAGGGAACCTCTTAATGCCTGGCATGAGGCCAGCTACAGACAGTCATCCCAGGTTCTGCTCACACTGCTGACCTGGGAGAGAAAGGCAGCCAAGTGCTCCTGCCACTCGCTATGATGCCATCACGCTATGACTAACCTGTCCCTTACTATGAGGTTTTGTGCCTGCCCCGGAAATAGATAAATCCGTACACAAATCCATGAAGACACACCAGTTCCTTCCAGTGCCAGTTCTGTGCAAAGTGTGGCTGAGTCACAGCCTACAAGATATTCAGCCCACTGTCCTGGCCAGGGAGATGCTGGGATGGAAATACCTGGCTGAGAAGAAAGACCAAAACTCCTGCTGCAGCTGGCTGAGCAGCTGAGGGAACACCTGCCCCCAAAGAGAAGTCTTGGGAACTGAGCTTCCCCATCTTTCCACCAGAACCACGACCCTGAGCCCAACATCACCAGTGTGAGGATGTGCTTTGCTGTTAAATGAGAGCATGCCGGGTCTGGGGGCTGCCCCAGCCCCCTGCTGCTGCCCCCACAGCCTGGGTCAGCCCTCGGCACCCACTGCCCGTCGCTGCCCGTGCCCAGGGGAGGTGTGTGGCAAGGAGCGGGCGTTGCTTCACAGCACACCCAGGCTCTGGGACTCCCGATGCTCTAAGGACACACGTGTTCACTCTGGACTTTCAGGTGGCTTATGTCACGCACTGGAGTAACGCGCTGCCCGTGAGGAGGTGGAGAAGTGTCAAACAGAGGGAGGCCACAACCTGTTGTGTCACCATGAGGAAGTCTCTGCTGCCGTGGGGATTCACCCGCTGAGCTCACACCCCCTGTGTGCCGGGTGAAGGCGGCAGGACCAGAACTCCGACCGGGCAGAACGGGAGAGCAGAGACTGTGCTGCTGGGAGCAGAGCTGGGGAGAAGGGGATGGCCGTTCCCCTCTGCTCGGTCACAGCATGGCAGGGGCAGCCATTCGTCCGGCGGCAGCTTGCACACCCGGGTGTCCCTCTCCTCACCCGGGGACACCCATCCCTGCCCGAGCCCGCACCCCAGAGAGGAGACTCGTCGCCTTCACCCGAAGGCAAGCGGTCCTTTACCTTTTCCCAGAGATTTTTCCCG